AAAACAGTGACCCCCCCCCCCCTCCGCCCCCCCCACTATTTGACACAAATAGAAATGTTCCCTTCTGAAATAACTCCACGTCCCCCAAGTAACTGTTCTGTCGTGATGTTGCAGCTAAAAGTCCTGGAAAACACTCTCAGGAAAACTAGTGGGAGGTAATGAAACCACTCTGACTCATAAAATGTTAAATATTTGTTTTTAAATGACATGTGCGCCCCCCCCCAACCCACCTTAAATCCCACCCTGAATTCAAAATGGCTGAATTATTGTGAATTATTTACATCTTCTGCTCCTGTCACATTAAATGTCGTGGGAATGTTGCCAACTGTCTGTTGAATATAAAATACTACATCGGCGTGAATGTGTTGCACACAGTAAATTTCAAGTACCCCTGACAAAAATAAATGGCTTTTCTGTCGAATCTTTTATCTGCGCCTCTAAAGACAAACATAAAGATGCCTGACTGTGATTGTGAGGCTGCTTCCAAATCTGATGATATAATAGAGGAGATAATCTGTTTCCTCAAAGCCTTCATCCAAACAGCCATTAAACTGCTTAAGAAAAAACAAACAAACAAAAAAAATCATAAAGGATGAATTTCAGCTCTTTCATCGTGGTATCAGTCAGGCCTTCGTCATTTTCCCGCGTAGATTCGTGACCTATCAGATATCAGGGGCGAATGTTTCAGTATCGCGTTCGCTGGCTTTGTAAAGGTGATTCATGCAGTGATGCTAATTATGGAAATTGGTAATACAATATGGGTGGTGAAACTTCATATGAAGGTTGAATGAACTCAAGTGTTTCTGTGCTGGGAGGGAATCCGCTGCCAAGAGGAAGCACCAGGTGGCACCAACACCGGGAGAACAAAACAGTTCTGCTACAGAAATAATCACAGTATCAAGTTCAACCGCAGTTTCCTCCTCCACCTCCTCCACCTCCACCTCCTCCGATGACAACTCTCTGTCCTGCATCTCTTTATATTTCTCAGCTTTCTGATTGCTTTTCTCGTCTGTCGTTAATTTCAACCTCGGACTCTTCTTCTCCACCTTTTGAGTTATCACCGTATCATCTCTGACCTTCAGGCCGTGTTCTGTGTTGTCACGGGTCAGCCGGCTCTTATCTCAATCCTGGGGTAGCCCATTAAGGAGCACTGTTATATGAACCAATAAATGGACACGCCTCAGCAGTGATAAAAAAGGAGGAGGCCTGTTCTATCTATAGGCCTCTGGAGTCATTATGCTCTCGAGAGAAACGGGTGAGGCCGTCTTCTCCGAGGCGTTGTAAAGTGGAGTGGCCGAGTGTGGAGAGACTCGTTAGAGGTTCTTGTACCTGAGTAGAAGTGGTTGCACTGCAGAACCATTGACGGTGCAGCCACAGGTCGGCCTTCTCTTTGACAGAGTTCTCCTTTGATTCACTTTAATATTTTGTTCATAGTATCATAAACTTTCCCTTCACATCAAAAAGAAGATGAAGGGAAAACAAAAACTGTTGATGCTTAAAAAAAAGAGAACAACTTCTGAGGCCTTCTGTGGTTTGAAGGTGAAGAACTGGGCTTTGTTTAAGCTCTGCAGGAGGATTGCTGGTTTGAATCCCCGGAATTCCCTAGAACTCAGTAAAGTGCCGATCACAGCTGTTTTGTGTCAGATGTTCCACCGCGATGGATTAAATGTCGAGTTATTCCAGACAGAAAGTTCTATCACCGGACCATTACAGTCTCCCAAAAAAACTGATTCACTGATTCACAGTCTCCCAAAAAAACTGATTCACTGACCAGGACTGTTTGTTCCACTGCTATCGGTACCAGAACATCTGAGGTATTCTTAGTTCAGCGCTTCTCAATTATTTTTTCCATCATGCCCCCCCTTGGGGACAGAAATGTTTTCACATCTTACATTTTTGTCACTGTGTCCCACTGTGGCCGGGTACCAAATGATCTCTGGACCAGCACCGGTCCCTGGACCGGGATATGAGAAACCCCTGTTTATAGTAGGTAGAAAACATTTATATAAAATATGTTTTTTTTTTTCTTTTCAAATTAGCAACAAACAAGAACATCCACAGCATAATCGTTCCAGGTGTAAATGTAAAGTTTACCAGATTAAAAAATATCACAATTCTCGTATTAAAATACCGTAAAAAAATACAGTATTTTAAAAGTACCATGTATTAACCAAAGCTTTGTGCAAAATACTGCAACTATATTTACCAGTATATCACTCAAAAATGTTCAGCTCTAACAGTCACCTGACCTTCATACTTGTAAACAATGCAGGATTGAATTTTTTTTCCTCTGCCTACATCATTAGCTTTGGTTAGAAGTTTCTTCACGCTGACAGAATCGTTGAAACTCTGGAGCTTCAGGAAAAGGAGAAATTCAAGTTGAGGAAAGTGGCTTTTAAAAAGACTTTAATTTTCAGACTCATGCCCTGAACTCACCAAAGTTACTTGGAGTTTAGTTTTGTTGTTGCCCCGTAGCCAATGCTAACGTTTCTCTACTCATCGGTGCGGCTGCTCCATATTAACGCTCCACGTCTTTTCCTCTCCAGGAGCTGAGTCGAAGTAGTGTTTTCACATGATTACACAAACATGTTTTTTTAGAGCTGCTTCAGTAAATAGCTTGTGATTAATCGGATTATTTATTGTCTTTTTAATTGCACTATTAGAGCTTTTCTGCTACAAACGTCTGTCCTTCAAACCTGCACTAAAGCTGGCTTCGTTTGACTCCAACATTCCGATTATGGCTCAGGGTCATGGGGAGAGCTGGAGCCAATCCTAGGTGACAGTGTACAAAAGGCAGCCTGCACCCTGGACCAGTCGCCAGTCTAATCCAGGGCCAACACACACACGCACACACACAAAAAACTTCACACTCGCACCTATGGTCCATTAGGAGTGTCCAATTAGTCTAATCTCCAATCTGCGTGTCGTTAGACAGTGGGATGACGCCAGAGAACCTGGAGAGAACACACACACACACACACACACACACACACTGGGGTCACACGCACACTCTCAAAGGTGTCCGGCCAAAATTTGGGATTAAAACCCCCAACAATGCCGTCCAATATGGCATCCTGGCTTCCTTAAAGTATTATTAGAGAAACCTGTCCCTAGTACATGTACATGTACAAGTACAAATATTTATATATCTTTAATGTAATTATCCTTGAGTAAAGGACTATTCCAGGATTTTTTTTTTTTTTACCACCAAACATTTACCTGCTGTGTATACACACCTCTATATAAAGAGTATCACTAGATGGGTATTTTAAAGTACAACAAAGGAGGAACTGCAGCCTGTAATTACCCCGCCTGTGAGAGATTGAACTCCGACTGGGAAAATGAAAAGCTCATTGTATAATGTGATGTATCAAGAAAAAAAAAAAACCTCACAACAGTTTGGATTCAATGCATAACTGTCCGAATTACTCACAGTCACATTATACTCCCAGCATGCGGACGAGCACTTGCTGGCATAGCACTCAGCTAAGAGTGAAGGGAAAATAAAGTGAGCCAAAAAAAAAAAAAGGAAAAAGAAAAAACAGGGTTGCCATCCT